AAATAGGGGGAATTCTGAAACAGAGGATTAAACTCTTATTTTCTCTATAGCGACTATATTTGCTCAGCTGATAAAAATACACGCTCATAATTGTTTTATTGTTACTGTTCGAATGTAAAAAAGTGAAAATGCTGTTATTATGGAATTCAACTGGTCCTTGTGGCTAAAATCGCAAGAAAACATTATTGTATAAATGGCGGCTTGAAAGTGTCATGACTTGACAACTACGTCACTTCGCTTCAGAAATACAGCGTGAGATAAGCGCAACGTCTACCTGTGTACGAACATACCTGCACTCGAATTCGAAATCACCGAATACGTTTAAGCAGCTAACAAACGAGACAAAAGCTTCAGCGGAATGTGAATGATTGAACGAGTGCGGAAAGAGCGACAATTTAAGTGGTTTGTCGGTGATGCTGACGAAGAGGGTGCAACTGTCACTTCAGGAAATGACAACCAACAACAATAGCAATATGGCGACATGGCAGCTCTTCGTCCATAGCATTTCTTTACAATCGTTTCTTTATCTCTCTTATGTATATATATTTGTATATGATGCGCATTGCACTGCACTTAAATAACTAAGAGAAATTGGAGTTGAGTTCTGACTTAAATAAAAACAAATTGTTAACATAAATGATATTATAATATTAAAATACACAACTCATACGAGGCAACCCTGATCCAACAAAGTTGCAAGCAGTACATACATATGTATGTATGGGACGATGTCCATCCTTCCGGTTGAAATTCATAAAACATATTAACGAAGTTCGTAGTCTGCCTCAACTGGTTTATAATAACGATTTACGGACACCTATAATATGGATTTTCTAAGTATTGCCATTAAAAATAATTGTTAAATTACCGTCCCCTCAATCGCATTGTCAGCCTTCTGGCGACATTCTCCAATAGTAACTCGATTTTCATGCAGCTATACATGCAGTCTTATTACCTATGTATGTCTGATACACACACCGATATTGGGTCGTTCATTGGGTAATTTCGTTTTTTTGCAATTTAAACACAATTTTTTATTAAATTTAACAATACAATGCTTAATTGAAATTATTTATTCCGCATTTTGATATAATAAAATAATCTTTACAGGTAAAACTGGCACGCTTCTCCAACTCAAAAACTTTGCAGAGACCGGAAAAAGTAATAGTCCGAAGGGTCCCAAGGTTGGATAATAATGTTGGTGTGGTAGCACATCCCATTTAAGCTTCAAAGCTTTTAGCGAGCTATCAAACTTGTGTGAGGCCTGGTGGAACACCACACCTTTTCTTTTCCTTAACTCTGAGGGCTTCTGTTGGAGTGATTCACTCAATTTTTCACTATACACTTCAGAATTAATCATTGTCAACATATAATAATAATATATTAGGTTGTCAAAAAAGTCTTGCGGTATTTTCGCTAGTTGGCGCTGAAAGCGGGTAGTTCTACTTTTATTCGTCGCATCGGGTCATACTATACCTTTTTGGAAAGCTCGTCGTTTCTTTTAAGTCGTTTTTGAGTTATAGCGTCGCAAACATGGAGCAAAATAAAGAGAAAATACGGCATATTTTCCAGTACTACTACGATAAAGGCAAAAATGCATCACAAGCCGCCAATAAAATATGTGCAGTTTATGAACCCGATGCAGTTTCCATTTCCACCGCACAACGATGGTTTCAACGTTTTCGTTCTGGTGTAGATGTGGTCGAAAATGCGCCACGCTCCGGAAGGCCTGTCGTCGAAAATAGCGATAAAATCGCTGAATTAGTCGAAAGAGACCGGCATAGTAGCAGCCGTAGCATCGGTCAAGAGCTGGGCATGAGTCAACAAAAAAAATTTATGAACAACTGAAAATTGTGAAAATTCAATAAAAAAATACCGCAAGACTTTTTTGACAACCTACTTCTTAGATGTTTGACAGCCAATCATTTTGTTCTGTAAGAACTTGAGAACCCCATGTATCAAGCTTTGAAATTACTCCTAGACCTAGATTCTGTGCTTGTGAATTGTCGCATTAGACAAATTAAATCTTTCAACAATTTCTTGATTTGTTATTCGACGATTTGCTCAGACCAACTACTTTATTTTATCCACAGCCACAAAGTTTGCAGACTAATTTTGGCATTGACAACACATCTTCTCCGTACACTTCATATAATTTACACCTTGCTTGAACTGCATTTTTCCTTTTGATAGTAAAACAGTAAAATATGAATATGCCGAAAATGCTATTTTCGATTTTCCATCCAAGCAAAAACTGTTCCAAAAAATTTCTAAAAAAGTGTAAAGTTGTCTGCGAAAAAAATTCAATAATAGCAGCTATTGTCATCAAATGACACTTACTTACTTAGTGAACGACCCAATAGATGTGCATGTGTGTGTGTCACAGCACAATTATGACAATTTGGCATGGTGATTGAGGCCGCGGCCATCGCGAATTGCTCGTAATGTCATTTCAAATTCCGCACACATAATTTGCAAACATATTTTCACACATAAATACATAAAAGTGTTCATACGAGTGGCCATTCATATTGCCATATCGCAGCAATACTTTTTTAAGTGCTGAATTGAATCGCTTTTGCTTTCAGGTGTTCAAAAACTCAAATGCCATACGAAAACTTATTTTGAGCAAGGGTCATAGATTGCACAAAGATAAGTAGGGAACAGATAAGTTCGGGTGCAATCTTGCTACTTGGAGGCATCAAAGCCAGGAAATACTTTAAGGTGTAAAATGTCAACTAGAGAATCGGAATCCAAGCAATTTTATATACGAAAACCATTAATTGTAGTGTATGGGAGTTGGGATGGTATCGACCCGATCCTAAAAAAATGTTCCCTGGGTTTCTTTAAGGTACCTCGCATATAATCATCAATCACATCGAATGTTCCAAAATACCGATATTAGTTATATGGGGCTAGGTCCAGTTTTCGGCCGATTTCATTTATTTTAGGCACACAGACACACTGTTATGAGTAAAACACGCTATGTAATTCTTTCAGATAGCTCTAATATTGGCTGATATATGCAGTATAAAGTCATCCGGAAGTTCGAAAATCTTTGCAATAGGTGCATACATATGTATATGAGTGCTCAGGGAAGTACTGACCCTGTTCAACCAATTTTACACACACACATAGATATACTACTATTAGGAAAGGATTCTATCCAAATTTCAACTACAAGTATATACATATCACTCCATTGATCGATATTTTAGGTCAAAATTCACTATAGATACTGGTTTCCACATTTCCAGTATTTGGGGGCTTGAACCATTTTGGTTGAATTTGGGAAATTTTTGGTCATAAGTTGACATGTTWTAAAAATTTATTTATTTTCATTATAATAATTTTTATCCCGTTATATTATTTACTTTTCGATTTGTATACTGGAAAGTGAAAGAATCAAATGGAAAATGTGTAATATGGGAAGTAGGCGTAGTTGTAGTTCAATTTCGCCTACCCTGAATATGAAATCAGGGTCACGTACTAAATATAGTCGAAATCTATCGGTCGGGTCTCGAGTTATGTGATTTCACCAAAAAGTGGGCGGTGCAACGCCCATCGTCCAGTTTTTTACTAGTAGTGAGCTTTTTTAAATATAGTATTCAAACATATATGCCATTCATTGCAGCAGTTTATATTGTCGTTTCCATTTCTTAATTCTCCATTTTTATTCACTTCAGCTTATTTAGTATGAAACTCAAATGTTTAAGGGCTGACACAAAAACATACAATTGCAGTTTCGTTGTTTCCTGGCTTTTGCCACTAACTCCATCGATGGGATATCCACTCCGATATCAAACCACTGCCGTCGTCCGCATCCGCGGTCTCAAACGTAGTAGAATTACTAACTGTCTGTATGAGCTGCAACATTAAAAAGCATTCAGCAGACCTCACAGTACTGTCAATAGAAATATTTCAATGAATTTCATTGAAAAAGTCATGAACCGAGACCTCCCAAAGCGGCCTAAACTCGTATTCCACAATGTTGTACTTGAAGAAGCACTTGACAAAATAATAACAATAATGATGTGACAATTTTGTATGGTCACTTCAGCTCTCAGTGATATGCGACACTTAAGACAATAACAATAAGAAAAACGACAATAGCCAAACCACAGCCTACGAATTCGACCAACTGCCGCAGGAACAGTCACGTCGAAGACCTGGCCATAACCAAAGTGCGACTGATGGGGCACTTGAGGACGTGCAGCAACAAAACCAAAACATGTCTGAAAGTACTCCAAAACGAACCGATCACACAATCCGCATACACAGCACACATACATGCATACATATACGAAACTAAAGTAAGTTGTGTGAGTACGCGACCAAGCTTGGGTATGCGTTTGGGTTCTAAACGCTTCTACCTCAATACCGAAGCCCTCATAGAGTCAGTAAAGTCGATGCAGTCGCGTTGATATAGTGTAGTGTCCTCGCATAAAAATCAAGTAGCCCGTGCTGTGTGCTTAATACTCACACATGCAAACATGTATGCACAAATATGTGTGGCAGCGGGAACGAAACATTTTCACAATTCCACTGTCATTGCGCGTTAACTGCCACACATACGAGTGCTGTGATGCGCCGAGTCGAGCGGCTCTTAAGCGTAGCACAATGGTGCTAAACCTAAATGTCGCGCTGCCATTGAGCAAATAAAGCTGAACGCGCACAAGCAGGCAGTGTGTTTTTGTGTATATATGTATGTGGATGATAAGGTGTAGGTGAGGGTATGCGGGAGCCTTGCCGCGTTCACATCGCGATTCTGAGGCGTTTGAGGTTATTTTATGGACATGTTTACTTAATGACAAGGGTCCGCAGCAAGAGCACTTGACAGTCCTGCTGCGAGTTAAGGCGATGTACGACTATTTATTTGAGAGCTAGTGGATTTTAGTTGAGAAGCGTTGTTGTAAATGTTTGCTGCATTTGATTTCTTTGTTAATATGAGTGTCATTTGATTATTTACATTTGTTTTTCTGTTTTTCCATTTATTTCAGATTTTATCAGCACTGCAACTGAACCTTGAATTTCCTTAGCTGCGAGAGGCGTCCGATTCGCCATGCCGAATCCGTGCGCTTTGGTGTATTCGACTTGCATATTCAGCGACTGCGACTGCTTCTGTAAAGGCAACGACCTAGGTAACATCGGGGGGCGAGATCTTCTAGTCTTTACTACAACTGCTAATACGCTAATCTGCGCAAAACGGCGACTTAATGAATATTAATCAGGAAAATTGCAACAACGGATTCCAGCAGCGACCTCCAGAGCACCAATATCCGCCAACACAACACTATTCGCTTTCACTACAGCCGACGCTACATCATTCGGTATCTGCTGCTGCCGTAGCCGCCATCGATACCGGACCGCACTCGCTCTCGACCAACCCACAGCTGCAAGACCTGGAGCTTGAATATTTGAAGAAGGCGCACGCTCACGCTCAAGCTCATGCTCAAGCACAGGCCGCCGCTCTTGTTTACAACTACGAGCGACAGCAGCACCAAGCGCTAGGGCGACGTTCAAGTGCCGATCACGAGTTTCCCATTAAGCGAAACACCCATCATAAGCATAATTTAGCAATAACGACGTCAGCTTCTATGGTTATGTCACCGAGTCGACGTCCGTCGCCGCCGCATGCAGTTGCGCATCCCCTGAATATACATATGAGTTCTTTGGCGCATGCGCAGATGCAGCTTCAGTCCCAGTTGCATCAAAAGTTTTCGGCAGCAGTTGCCGGTGGCAACAACCTGACGCCGACAAATCATTTGACCACTTACTTTCGAAACCAGACTTCCCCAGCTTGTGGCATACCGCCCTTGCCTCCACTCCCACCAACTTCCAGCGGTAGCACAGCAAACACGCAGCAGCAACACTCACCAGCGAATTCAGTCAACGCGAGTGGGAGTAGCCCTGGTGGCAACCTTCAGCAATCAGCTAATTCAAAGTCTTCGCACAATCAGCACAACCCGCTAAGTCACTTGCAGAGCATGCAACCATTCGACTTTCGCAAGATCAGTTCGGCAGCTTTTGGAGCTATGCCATCGCTGCCGCCAGCACGCATGAGTCCCAACGAAATTGCACATCATCAACATTTACAGCAGCAAGCAGCTCAGCAAGCCGCAATGCTAGCGCAAGCACGTCGTCGCATAAATGAAGCTTGCACTCCATCAGAGAAGAATGCCGCGGTCGCAGCAGCTGCCGCTGCAGCAGCCCAAAGTAACCAGTTCTTCAATGCGATGGCTATATCGGGACATCCGTTGCCTTTTCCTTTACCTCCACCGCCCCCACTACCTACGCACGGGCCGCAGGGCACATCGCCATCGAGTGTGCCGTCAGCATCTAGCTTACCACCGGGTTTAACTAGTAACCAAGTGGCAGCTATAGCGGCAGCGGCTGCAGCTTCTGGCAACCCAATGCCTCACAGTCTTCTGGCATCACATTTTCCCACTATGAATCCTGTCCTCAACATGGGAAAGCCACCATCCGTACGATCTAAATCTCCAGAAACTGAAGAATCGAAGCATACGTTACATCGGTCAGATAGCGGAAATATGGGCCATCTACGCGAAGGTGCGGCACATGCGCAACACCCAAACTCTAATCGTCATCATCATCATCCCGTAACGCCACCCATTTCCATAGGCTCCACCGCCATCTCTAGCTCATACCAAAGTCAACATCATGAAGCCCGTCAATCGCGTTCAAGCCAAATGGAACACTCGTCCTCTCACTCCTCACAGCGACTTACACGATTTTCTGCCAGTTCTAGCCTACGACCCGGACGAAAATCTCATTCACCGGGCAAACGTCAATGGGGTACATTGCCTGCTAATTTGGGAACACAATTTATCAACCCAGTTACCGGCAAGAAACGTGTACAATGCAATGTCTGTTTAAAGACTTTCTGCGACAAGGGCGCGCTGAAAATACACTTTTCAGCTGTACACTTGCGTGAAATGCACAAATGCACGGTTGATGGGTGTAGTATGATGTTTAGTTCTCGTCGGTCTAGAAACCGTCACAGCGCTAATCCGAATCCGAAGCTACATTCTCCTCACCTTAGACGCAAAATATCACCCCACGATGGACGTACCGCCCAACCGCACCCACTACTATTACAACCACCCAATGGACTAATGGCTGGTCTCAATCCATTCGGCACTTTTCCGTTACTGACACCACCGCCCGATATGAGACACCATCATATGGCCAGCATGCATGATATGAAGCATGGTTCAGCTGAATTAATGCATCGCTCTTATATGGACAATGCAATGTTGGGGCAGTACAATACACGATCTCGCCACCGCCAAGACAGCGAAAGTCATTTAGAGGATGACGAGGACGACAGCATTTTGGATGGGGGCATTCACATAGGAGATGATGATGACGACGACGACGATGACGACGACGGCGAGGGTATAGTAGTGGTGGGAGATGAAGCCGACAGTATTTTAGAGAAAACGAACTCAGAGGACTACAACACTGATGGCGATGGAGATGGCGACGAAGCTACCGACATAGGTGAAAATAGTCACGATATGGATCTCACCACATCTACACCTACAACGACTGACTATAAGCAAAAAACCAAAGATGCATCATCCAATAAAGAACAAGGCGCTGACTGTGGCATGGTCGTTGAGTCTGGTGTAACAGATCAACACAGTAGCGAGAGTAACGATGACTCTTTGAGTGTTGCGGACTCCTTCAGTATGCGCGGTGATTACGAAAGCTATGCATTTCCGGGCATGGGCAGTGGAGGTAGTAACAGTACCGCAAACACACCAAGCTCAACGTCAAACAAAAGAAAACGTAAAAGTCAGAACCCAGTTCGATGTACAGTGCAATCTGATGAAAATTCCTGTGATAACTCTACTGAATTCGATGTAGCCGCCGATTTATCACTGAAAAAAGCTTCACCAAAAACCCCTTTTGCGAATAAGGAAAACAAGGCTGATAGTTCAAAAGAGAATATATCTTTAGATTTATCAAAACGAACTCGAAAATCTCAAAGTCCTGAACCACCCATAGCTAACTCAAATCCCAGTGAGAGTACGAAAGTACTTCCATCGCCACCGCTAACACCATCAACATCGATTAGTGAACCTACATCATCGGCACGCCCACATCTATTGCCCAGCACACAGCTGAAATCGGAGCCAATCGACGAAGAGTACGAACAACAACTAGATAATCAGAATGGCTCCAACACAATAGCAGCTCAAGAACAAGAGCACTCATTAGACTTATCAGCCAGCAATAAGCGAAGTTCGGAGCATGTGGTGGATCCACCAGTTTCGAAAACCAAAAGTTCAGATGATAATGAGAAACTAATTACCTCGATTAAGCAGGAACAAATAGAAGAAGAACATACAGTAACAGCCACAAATGCAAATTCGAATCGAAATGAACACTGTTCAGTGAGGATAAAAAGTGAGCTGGTCGAAGAGGAGAGCAAATTGGACATATCAACCACGGAAGCAGCATGTCAAATCAAAAACAATAACAATAATGCCTTACAATCAAATGCGGGCACCAAGTGTAGGGAGAAATACGACATCCCAACTGCGCCAACCGATTCCCTGCACCAACAAACCAACCAAGAAACCAATGGAGAAATGTTAGCAGAAGAGACCGAAGTACCGATCGACAAAGATAACCCACTCAAGTGTACGGCGTGCGGTGAAGTATTCCAGAATCACTTCCATTTAAAAACACACTACCAAAATGTGCATCTGAAGTTGCACCACAAATGCAACATTGACGGCTGCAACGCTGCCTTCCCTTCGAAACGGAGCCGAGATCGCCACAGTTCAAATTTGAATTTACATCGAAAATTGCTGTCAACTGGCGACAACCACCACCACGACTCTCTGCCCGAACATATGACAACGAATAGTATCAAGAGCTTCGACGGCGCTAACAACCCCAACTGCGGCGTAGCCAATTCAATTCAAGCTGAATTTTTGGCTCGACTTTATGCTGGCTCACAGGGTTTACCTCCATTGAACTTTGATGCTCTGAAACAACATTTACCGGCACCGGTTACAAATGCACAAAACTTTTCAGAGGCAACTTTTATGACAGATCCACGACTTTTACTCAGTCATCCAAGCAATCCATTGCTCTTCCCTGGCCTAACCGGGCTTCCAGGATTCCCCCACTTAGCACCTCACTTATTAGCTGCGCCATTCAATGGCCTTAATCCATTTTGTCGTCGGCCTTCATCCGAGTCGCACTCGCCGCACTCCACTCCACCACCTTCAAGTACTGTGCGTTCACCACACTGCTCTCCGCACAGCAGCGGACAACAACCGTCTAAAACCTTGTCCGAGCGATCCTACCAAAATTCACCAGCGGATGGCGACGCCAGCACAGGATCACCGAGCGTCCCCGAAAAAAGCCTTGCGAAAGCGTCGACAGTAAGTGCAACGCATCTGCTTCCACCCCCACCACAAGGTCAGACGCCCGATCGAATGTCATGACCATATGCCACACGCTTTGCCGAAATGATTTCTTATCGACAGTGATCACTCGACTGCCGATGTTCATGTTGCAGGCACACAGTCCGTTGAGCTGCAGTGCAATATGCTGTAGCTCAAAGTGGACAGACATCAACAATAAACTAGCTTACAGCGAGGATAAATAGCTCAATAATTTATTTTACAAGCGTAAGAACACACACACACAATCACATAAATGCACACGAGTAAAATTTAATTTAGCCAATAGTGAGTATTGATCATAGTTTCTAGGGTCCGGGGAAGATGCACTCTCGTATATTTTGCCAAAAGAGATGGTGAATTATAGAATCACGTATTAATCTAGCAATAAGAATTGATCAAAACAAGTACACAGAAATATATATTCTATATATACTGGTCCTTGAGTGGGTTTCATTCAATCTCATGAATAAAAATATTCCTGCTTCAAACACACACACATATGTACGTACATACATACATGTATCGGAGCTGAAGCTTTCCTAACTTACTACGAATAGCAAATAAAAATTGTTTCCACTTTTTCGAAAGAGCTTTATCAACTTTTTTTGACAAGATTCCAAATGCCTGAAATTGAAATTCATAACTGCAAAAACTAGAAGAAATTTTGATAAAAGAAATCGTTGGCAACTGTGAAAAGTAGGCCTTCGAGGAAACCAAAAACATTTTCCGCCATATGGATGATCCACCAAATTGTAGAAAATGGAATTGTTTCATTGCCCACTCACACACTTGCACAGATACATGTATGTATAATTTTAAACAATTTTGTTCAGTTGAAATCTGAAATTGTGTTTGATGGACCATAAATGCTACCAGTAATTGTTGTGCTTGTACAATCGACTTGTAAACAGCTTTGTTAATTAATATATCTACAAATAAATACATATATACAATTATATAATAAAACACATACATACGTACATCAAATCGTTCGTATTTATCATTTAATTCGAAACAAAATGGTTTTTATATAAAATTTTGTTGTCACACGATAACGCTAAGCTCTAGTTAAAAATTATGTTGTATAATCTATAGTTTAAGTGTAATATATTGATAATTAGAAAATATTGAATTTTATGCAATAAAATCTTTAACGAAACAAGTGAAACTCTTGACTTGCGTCTCTTTTACTACCGAGGAAAAAATAATTTCAGCAAATTTCGGCAAAGTTGGGGTCCGCTAACCTATTACTTAACAGAGGAAGTCTCGTTATTTCCAAACAGACATTATTGTGATATTGTTCACGGAACTGGCATCGGTTGAGATAAGGAAATCGAAAAAATTGTTTTCGACATAACTGGAGTTCATACCAACTATTTTTGCGGAGTAAATGAATTCATAGGTTAATGAGCAGAAGACCTCATAATTTGATGGGAACAATGCTCCGGCATTAGCAGTTTCGTTAACTAAGGAACTTTCACCGCCTCCACCACTCAGCTTCGATATTTTCTGTTTCAGAAAAGTTTAGAAGTAAATTTTAATCGGATATACATGGTTCGTAGAGACATCTGTAACATAACCTCCAGATCCAGAAGTAAATATTATATCACTTGCGTTGTCACTAAAGCTTATATAATTTTTCAGAATTTCGTTTTCAGTTCGTTCCAAATATGACCGGCAGGCTTTAGATTTTAATTAATAATTTGAAGATTTTATGCTCATCTCCCTCTCCAAAGACTCTTTCCCTCAACGGAAATGGAGATAGTGTTCTAATGAGGTGTGTCCTGGAAAACCTATATATCGGCAGTCGATGCAAGGCCAACTATTAGCTAACAATATATGATATATGTACATAGTTTTTGCAAAGCGGGGAATTATCACAATTTACATTTTTACATTTACAAGTACAGATTTTAGTTTCAAAAATCTAAGGAGGCGCCTATAGAGCTTCACTTGATATCATTGTCTGACAGACAGTGCGACAGACAAATATAATTGTTGGTGTTAAAATTTTGTTGAAAATAGCTTGCATTCGCTCCACTAACTAGTTTCAAGGCAATTAAGTGTGTGTGATATAGACGAAATTCCATGTACAACACATTTCCCTTGAGCGAATTATGCATGCGGCGCTCCGCAGACCGAAGAAGGCCGTTTATTTTCCGAAACATTGCTAACTTCCGTTAACAAAACGATTGGATTCGCAATTCGGCTTACATGAGGACCTCATGTGAAAGGGCGCCAGTTGCCACATATCACTTGCTTTCGTTGGTAGCTCCTCTGATAGGCAGACGAGCTGAATGCATTCTCGGCAAAAATACGTGGAGTTCGCAAACAGGCGACCCAATTAAGATAGGTGTAGTGCACTTTTTAAGGATTAGGAGTGGTAGCTTTAAAAGTGGCATGAAACTGATGGCCTTATATGACTTTTGCACTTTAACGCCTTTTTAATTGTATAAAGTTTACAGTTCCGTTGCATACAAGCAGGCGCAATCTTTTAGCCAGCCAGCTATAGATGTACAAGTTAGTGTATTAAATTACAAATGCATATGGCGGCTTTATGTCTTTCTGCACGAAAACAAATCGTCTCATTCGACCCACCGTACAGCCCATGGCGACGGCCACCCCCACCTGCACCCACAAAATCACACACCCCCTGCAAATGGCGGATCAGACCACCCACACAATATAACGCAATGCATGTCCATGCCGCTATCATGACCTCGCGCAATTCAGTAATTGTTGAGGGTTGTGGCAATTACTCTTCCTAAATTTGACGCTGCTTTACAACCGCCGGCGACTGACAGTGCCAGATAACAGCGCCAACAAATTATGTTTTTTATATGGTTAAAGTTTTCGAAAGGTGGGCCATTAATGAGGTGTGTGGTTCTGTGCGTGGCAGTTTTGCCGGCTTTGCCGTCCGCGCCAGTGTTTGTAGCAAAGTTATAGTATCGCCATTGCGTCATCGATCTGCTATTGCCCAACATGAAGTGAAAAACGAATGAATGTAGGCTCATTATGCCTCTAGCTAACACCCGAAGTAGAAAAGTGCGGAAATTCCTAATTTTAACAATACGAGAATCTTTTCAAATAGATTTATGGTATATCTTCGAATTATATAATTTATTCGTCTGGACACCAAAAGCAAGAGAATATAACAGTGAAACCTTTCAATTCTTGTGACAACAACGTTTTCTTAGCTCAAAACCAATATTTCGGCTACCCGCATTTTGTTTTAAGGAACTGTGGCAAAGGGAATGTGAGCGGATTTCGCACTCATTTCTCAATGTCAAAACAACGCAAGTTCAGACATTATCTTGCAATATGTAACGGCACACAAAGCCACGTAGAGTTTTCGCTTAAAGCGATGTTTATCTCAGATACAACTATTTACATACAAACATTCGTTTCAGCAGTTACATAGCACCACCTGAAATTGTACATCCATACATATTTACGCATGCATTTGGGAGCACTATATGTATGTGTGTGTGGTTATTGAAAATTGGCACTGGCGCGAAGCCGCAACTTACACCAATCGTAATATCTCGAATATAACATTTTAGTGCTTCCTTCCGTTGCCTTACGTTGTCTTCCTTCCTTTCGGAGAGCTAGCGCTCTACTGGGGCAAGCATAAACAACGGAATGGAAGGGAGGAAACAAACAAAAACTGAATTGCGTTGGGACCAACACAACAAAGGCATGCACCATCTTGTTCTGTTCCGTCTAGTTTTTTTAGATTAGAGACAGAGCAATTCTCAGTGGTTTAAGTCGATACTACACAGTTAGGAAATTTTTTGAAAAACTTACATATATGGGTTTCCAAATGTTTTACTATACTAAGCGCTTGATAATATCTAACTGACTAACCTAAAATACATGAAGAGAGGAGCAGACAAATTTTCTTAAGGTATACCGAATCTCTTGATTTCTGATTCGGTATTAAACTACCGAATGATCCCTCTCTCGCAATGCCTCAAAGTTTTTTTCAAATACCAGTTCACAATAGTCTATTCCGACTTCAAATATAGTTGTACAACTCATACGGATGTGTATATACTGGCCCAGTAGAAGTGAATGTAATACATCTCCACATACTTGTATAACTTTCGAAAACTTATAAAAACATGTTTTAAAAAAAAGTCAATCTAATTAGATTTGAACAAGCGTCTATTGCCAAATTCGGTGGTGCAAGAAGTTTTGGTCGCTGTCGGTCAATATGTTCAGTATGCCAGTGACTTCTTATTGTATAACAATATTGCGTTCCTACTTGGTTCTTGCACTTGTTGGTGTTGTTTTAGTGGCAACGGCGGGCCAGTAACAGTAACATTTTATAGTGATTAAGTGCATAGTTATGCACTGTGGCGCACGATACAGAGTGTATGTGTGAATTTGTGTGCCTGCCCTGATATAAACATACATAATGCCGCCATATAATTTGCTATCGGATGTGTCTGCCGAAGTTGAAAAAGTTTCCAACCTCCAAAAACCGTTGGTTCGAGCGCAGTTTTGAAGTCTATAGCAGAGCGCAGCGTGAACGTAGTGGCTACATCCTTCCGCACCGCAAAGGCTCGACACACAGCCACATAAACTCCCAATGAGAGATCTGAATGCTTCGAGTGAACCGGAACCCATTGTCTTGCGTCGTAAATAACCATGTTGTGGCGTTGCGTCCGGGACACATTGTGGCATATGTACGAGGTGCCACGTATGAATGTGCACACGTGCTGGATATGTGACAAGACATGTATTGCCAAAATAGTCATAGCTACAGATGTAAGCTTGTATTTGCCAGGTGCATGCATGTAGCAGGTGGTTGCCCTGCAGGAAAGCTATCTTGTGCATATGTTGCCAGAGGGGGTGTAACTGCTGTTAAGTCCACTGGTTTCGGATTTCTCTCTACAGGGATTGTTAGCCTATGTATCGCTATACATTTATCCTCATTTGCAATTATGTAATACGAATATTTATGTAGTAGTACTTAGACATAATATATTAGAATTCTAGCTGACTTGACTTAGCATCGACAAAATGTTCTATATATGTATATTTGTATTTATATACACACTGTTAGGCACATATTATATGTAGGTATGTACATGCATATCGATACATATTACAAAACGTTTGTTTCATTTGGCCTTTGTTGCAACCCATTGGTAGTTACACCAACCACAACAACAATGCCCTTGCTTCAGCCACATTAGCAGCCGAGCTCTATAAATACTTTAGCCACACTTCTAACGGCGGCAACGTCAAACCGCAATTGTTGCCAAATCTGACGGTAAGCAAATAAATTACTTTATTTCACCGTTGCATTTGCTATCATACTCTTTGTTGTTGCTGTTTTTGCCAACAGGGTAATCGCCGAAGACCAATCGCCATTCTCCCCAGAGATACCAAGCCTCACCCATTACATCAACAGTTTGTTCTCGCCGAGAATATATACACACCTACTACCGGGTGGATTGTGAGTCCGGGCATCTGAGTAGGCACAATCTCTAAAACCGAAACTGCATTAAAAATAGGGTATCACTTAAAACGAACACTTATTGGAATGAAGAGAGATTTCGAGTTATGGAAGAAAATGTGTATGAAATGTGACTTCTATTGCAAATTCAAGAGATCGAGCTATGGAAGGTCAACTGCACATAAAATATATATAAAAATAGTTGTACCCTAAACCCAAGCGATGCATATTAACAAGCTTTTTTATGGCCAAGGACGTCTCCCATCCAAATTACTAACGATCTAAAGAGTGCAACGAGTATTTTTGAACTTCCAGTGATCAGCCTTTATGTTCGTTTTGCAATAACAATGTGTTTCAACGTCGATGCCTCGAAGCAGAGCTGGCTGTTGTTGTTCTCGCTGAGGCTCGCACGTGCCTTATTGCACCGCTTAGGAAATGTCTGTGTTAAAAGAATTCACAGGCCGGTCGGATGTTAAACTCATGTCCACATATCCGCTTGAAGCTAGTGATGCTACATTAACATTTTCTCTTAAAGGTCCAAGATGTTGC